GAAGCAATGCAGGAACCCACTCCTTGTCAAAAGGATAGACCTTGTTCTGGTGCTAGATCTAGTAGTCACTTCAATTAATATTTTTAGGAGGCGGGACCCAGTTATAAGACTGTTGCTTGCCCCCGTCCTGAGATGTTTGTGACTTGGAGAGGTCTAGGGTTTGAGGGGCGGCATTCTTAATGTCAATCACGATGACAGCTGCACTGATCATCAGTTTTTGTTTGTTGCCCCGATTGTTGGAGTGAGAGTTCGAGCTAGAGGGTTGCTGACGAGATACACCATGATGCTTAGACAAACCATCTATACGAACTGATTTAGAGATGAGCTCTGACATGGAGGTTGGATTGGAGGCCTCAACATGCAGAGTGATCTCGGGCAGCATATTTCTTATGCAAGTTTGAACTGCTTCTTTTTCAATCCTTGGAGTGGCATGAAAGGTTGCCAACTCTCTCCATCGGGCGATGAACTTGTCAACTGGCTCACCAGGGTCTTGAGTCAGAGTGAGGAGCTCGATGGTCTCCACATTTCTCTAGACTTCGTAGAACTGTTGGTAAAGCAACTGCTCCATTTCTTGCAATGTGTGCACCGAACACATTGGCCCTTCGAGAGTCTCGACGAACTAACAGAGGACGATTCACCCATCAGTTACTGTCTCTCGACAAGCAGCTTGGAAGTGAGCAGTATGCTGGTGCGGGGATGTAGTACCGTTGAACAGGGGGAGATTCCCTTTTTGATAGTTTGGGGAAAACGACATTTGGTCGATGTACGAGGGATACGGCATTTGGTAAAGCCGTGCCTCTTACATGCCCGGGACCTTGCTCTTGAGACTGTGGGTCACCATGGCATCTATATCTACTAGTGAATCTGTGCAGGAAGTAGAGCTGTCTTGGGAGACCTGTGGGGGAGTTTGCCTGGGAACAGTGCCTTCTCCTCTCTTTATCGTCTCGCCCTCTTCTCTTCAACCCTTTCTCTCCTCACTTGACTGAAGGTAGACCTACCCTAGCACCGTCACGTCGACCTCGATTTCGAATAGTATTGCCGCTGTGCTGGTCTTGTGAACCATATCCATCTTGCTATCACTACAAGTCGGTAACTTCTGGTCGTCATGCTAGTCTCGCCCCTCCGTCAAGCTCTCTTATCGTTTCTATCTTTCATCTAACCTTGTACTTCATCGCCTTCTCATATGAATGAGAATTTTCCTAAGACAAAGGTGTGTCCCTTCAACCTACTTGTCTTACAAACTAACCATAGAAGTATTGTGCAGAAAAACAAGAGGATTGCAGGCCAAGGGAGGCGATTTCGAACCAGCTCAAGCAATTAGGGAGGTTTCTTCGTGATCCAGCCCACGCGGGCCAGTCCGAGTAAGTCCCTAACCCACCTAAATTCTTCTCTCATTGGTTGGTATACTTGCCCTTGCCCTCGAGCAAGGTTCTGAGAGAGCGATCTCAAATCTTGGGTTCACCAGAAACCTGAGACACGTGCCACCAGATCACCTAAATCTAGAGGGCGAGATCGAGGCACATAACCAGGGATGTGTTGCCTCCTCACGTTGCCAACGGCGATGCTTATTGCCTTCCACGGGCTTCTCTTGTATTCCTTGCCTAGCGTCGTGCGGTTCAGGGGGAGCTATTGCCATAAGCCTAACCAGAAGTCATCGCTGTCCACAAGGGACACAACATCTTCTCATGATACCGATGACGATGCCCACCGCCGTCTGGGTTCTTGCTCCCTTTGCCATTTCGCTCAATTCTCTTCATTCTTCTCACTTGAATGAGGGTAGACTTAGCCTAGCACCGCCATATGGGCCTCAGTTTCAAGTAGTATTACCGTCGTGCTGGTCTTAAGAATCATTCATATCTTGCTAACACTCCGAGTCGGTAACTTTCTGGTCGTCACGCTAGTCTCGCCCCTCTGTCAAGTTCTCTTCTCTTTTCTATCTTTAACTGAACCTATCACTTCATCACTTTCTCATATGAACATGCATTGCCCTAAGACAATGGTGGGTCTCTTTAACCCACTTGTCTTGCAAATTAACCATAGAAGCATTGTGCAGAAAATAAGAGGATTGCAGGTTAAGGGAGGCGATTCCGAGCCAGCTAAAGCAGTTGGGGGGCTTTCTTCGTGATCTAAGAGGGCGCCCAAGCGAGCCAGCCCGAGTAAGCCCTGAACCCACCTTAAATTCCTCTCTTATCAATTAGTATACTTGCCCTTACTCTTGAGCAAGGTTCCGAAAGAGCGATTTCAAATCCTTGGTTTGCTAGAAACTCGAGATACGTGCCGCCAGATTATCTAGATCCGGAAGGCGAGATTGAGGCACCTAACCTGGTATCTCAAAAGCATTTGGAACTTCTTGAAAGTAGAGTCTGCCGATTCTAAGCAAATTTAGTTTGGACGATATATCTAGTGTCGTTCAACCCAAGGTGACCCAAATTTCCAGATTTTGAGTCATGATAACTTCCATCCCGTTCCCGAACAAATTCAATGTATGTGGACAACTTTGGTCTGTGCAACACACAACAAAATTGTGGTTGGCCAGATCTTTTGAGATTTGAAGTTATCCATTTTAACGTGTTTTGGGCCTTTTTTTCGTGATCAATTTTAAGGTTAGACTATCTTAAGCTGAGTGCCCAGAGAAAATCCTGAGACTCTGAGACCTAAGAAAGATAACCTCTTGCAAAACCTTTGCCCATAAACCTTCAAGCTTAGAATCAAGAAAACCCCTTTCAACCAAACTAAGCCTTGGTCAACTCTAAAGAGAGACACAGAGGATCCACAGCAGCAATTACAGTAGCGGTTCTGATACAGGCAAGGCCTCGAAGCCTCGGGTTTGTCGGGCTGATTGGCCTAGCCAAGTATTCTTCTCATCCTTTCTTCTTTTTATTTTCAGTCACTTTAATAGATTTTGGACCCTTTTATCTGCTTCATTTTTGTATTTTGTGCTCTCTAGATCAAAGTTGGCTCTGTGATCTGCACATTTTGAACATATTTTCCCTTAGAATAGAATTTAATTTACCCCTCTTTATCAAATCTTTTAATAACCAGTTTGTGGTTTGGATCTGGTCGATCTTCATTCAGAGATCATCCTGATCTGCATCATGATCACATGTGCAACTATCCACTTGAGAGATCCATATTCAGTACAAAACCGATAGGGGGATAATGGTCACCTTGGACTTATGCCTCTTTGTCTTTAAGATGCCCTAGGTGAAGTAACACAATGACGAACCCAGTTTATAAAGTTGGTGAAAACGCCAAAGCACTCATCTTGTCTAAACTTCAAGGAAATTCTATCATAGGTATTACTCAAATCATATATTGGGTCTTGCTGCTGCACGACGAAACATGGATATGAGCTCATTTGCCATGAGCACAATCTCAGTAATTCCCTTTAGGAAGGTAGCTTGGCAAGGATGATTTTGTAGCATAAATTGAGCCCTTTAGTGATATTATAACATAATTTGAGCCCCCGGTGGTTTTGTAACATAATTTGAGCCATTTAATGATATTTCCCCAAATTTTTCCCTAGAACGTAGAAATAAGTCCCTCTGTCTAGTATGCTTCATTTCTTTCCCCTCTTTATGGAATTTTAGATTCTATCTGCTGAAAGTCAATAGGCCTGTCGTAATCACTGCCGAATCATAGGCTTCTATGGCGATGGAGAGAGAGCGGAACAATTATAACGTGGTGCCCTGGATTCCACTCTCTCTAGAGAGAGTGTGGAAGAATTATGAATGTGGGGCCTAATGGATTCCAGTCTCTTTTCACTGCCAGCTCATTCATTGGACGGTAATGAGCCTCTTGATCACATAGTTGTTGTGGATCATAATCTACATCTAACTAACAAACAATCCAAAAGAGTCCCCGTGGTCGGAAAGCAACTCTCTTGGCTTTTCTCCGTCCACGCACACCCCAAAAAGCTTAGGTTTTGAAGAGCACGGCCCTTCCAATACCGATTATGAGGAACAGTCCTAATCATTTCATAAAATGCCAAAATATCATGGTTGCCTCTCCAACTTAAATCTTTGGACACTTATGCCGTTGCCATTTAAGCTGGAAAAAGTTCATATAGAGCCAAGACTCTAAACAATCAAATTAAATCTTATATCAAAAATTTCATTAGAATAGATTGTTTTGATGTCCAAATATCTTCAAATTAATCATCTCGACATCACGATACATGGACATGAGAAAAAAGTGGATTTTAAGTTTTGGAAATAATACATTTTATACTATCAATTTTCAATATTTTCAAATTTTTATAAATCTGGCGATCTACACTATTTTTTTAGCTTTAAACTTTATAAATAAAGGTGAAAACTTATTTTAAGCCTATCATGATAATTTCTAGCGTTAAAACTACATTTCCGGAGACTATTTGAAAGTAGGTTCTAATTTGATTGTTTAGAGCATAGGCTCTATACAAACTGTACTCTATTATGAACCATGACAAGAAGAAGGGTGTGTTTGTACATAATCGAGGCTCTAAACAATCATAATAGAGCCCACTTTCAAATAGTATCGAGAAATGAGATTTCACTTTAATTGTTTAGAACCTCATCTCTATACAAAATACACCCATATGCAAAAGAGAAAAGTTCATATAGTGCCCAAGCTCTAAACAATCAAATTGGAGCCTACATCAAAAATTTCATTAGAAGAGGTTGTTTTGATGCCCAAATATCTTCAAATCGATCATCTCGACATCGATATGTATGGACATGAGAAAGAAATAGATTTTAAGTTTGAAAAATAGTATATTTTGTAACATATTTTTTAACCGTCAATTTTTAAAATTTTCAAGTTTTCATAGATCTATCGATCTATACTACTTTTGAAGCTTTAAACCTTTATAAATAAATATAAAAATATATTGTAAAGCTATCACAAAGATTTTCAATATTAAAACCACATTTTTCGATACTATTTGACGGTAGGCTCTAATTCTATTGTTTAGAGCCTAAACTCTATACAAACCGCACCCCGATGCAAAATAGTCTATGTGAACGTAGATCAAGGGCATTATTGTCATGATCTTCTTGTTAGACATCTCTTCGCCGAAGAAGACTGCTTGAAGAGGAGAGAGAAAGTACACTTTACCCACAGTCACAATGCAATCCGCCATGGTGATGAGCTCCACTGTGGGGGCTCTTCTCAACCCTAATCCTCTCTTTATTACCTGCAATTTTAGACCCTCAAATGGTGGCTTCTACCCGAACCAGAAGTGGGTTCCTCCGCATAGATGGAGTTGCAGGGCCAAATGTATCAGAGCTTCCATTTCTGACGAAGAAGAACCGAGCAGAGAGGTAGAGAGAGAAAGAAGAGGAGGGAAGGAGTTGTTGCTTCTGTCCTTTGCACCACTCCCTCTCCTTCTTATTGGAGCACTCCCAGGAGGTATTTCTCTCCCCTACACAAGTCCACTGTGTTTACTTTTTCTCTCTCGTCCATGGAATGGTGATTCTGGTTTGGAAATGCAATTCCAGATTCTTTCTCTTGTGGGAAAAATCTCTCTCTTGATTTTGGGGAAGAATGTTGTCTTTCTCTTTCTTGATTTTGGGTTATTTTGGCAGCTGAGATTGCAAGGGCGGTATTTGGGCCGTTTGCTGAGACAGTGAAGACATGGGACGTTCCCAATGGGCTTCTTCATTGGGGTCACCCTGGAAACATGGTTCCTTCCTTCGTTTTTGTTTTGGGATTTTCTGTTTTTCCTTTTTTGTTTTTTTAAATAGAAAATTACCTGTTTATCTCACACAATTACCATAATTACTAAAATCTCACTCAATTTTTAAACCTTACGCGTGCACCCCTAGGTCAGATTTTTATTTCCATTTTATCTCCACTTAGGATGTTGAAAATATGGATTTTTGATGTCTGAATTTGAAAGGTTACCTTCGAACTTTGAAATTTTCAATATATGAAGTCACGAGGTCGCCTCATTGGAACATTGGATTACCATTGCTACGTTATGACTCCAGGCATTGGAAATCCGAAGTCATAAGATCTCTATTACTTCAATTTTAGTGAGGGCATAATGGGAATAAAGAAAGGGATAAAAATCAAATTAGAGCTCACCTTCAGATAGTATGGGAAATTATAGTTTCAAAGTTTTGTGATAGAATTAAACTATATTTTCATCTTTAGTTATAAAATTTTAAGCATAAAAAATAGCGTAAATCAAGCAGATCTATAAAAACTTGCAAATCTTGAAAATTGACGATCAAAAAATGTGTCATAAGTTGTACTATTTCCAAAACTTGAAATCCATTTTTTTCTCATGTCCATGCATCTTGATGCGGAGATGATCAATTTGAGGATATTTGAACATCAAAACAACCTCTTCTAGTGAAAATTTTGAAATAGGTTCTAATTTGATTGTTGAGGGCCTGGGCTCTATATAAAAAAAAGGGATATGCTCATAATATTTAGACATAGGTGTGGTTTACATAAGGTAAGGTTGTAAATGGCAAGGTGTACCACCAAATTTTATGATAAGATATAATTTTGGTATAAAAAATTCTTGGGATAGCCTATGAATTTATTTTCATATCTAATTATAAAATTTTAGGACACGTTTCATACGCCTAAAAATATTTCTATGAAAGTATCTTTATGTGAAAAAACTCTCTTATGTGATTAGGTGTGGGAGCTTTTACACACCAATTGGTCTCAACGTAGTCTTTTTTTATATCAATCAGTAGCCAATTGGTGTGAAAATTTTTTTCCAACTAATCACATGGGGGAGTTTTTTTATGTGAAAATACTTCCACAAAAGTATTTTCATGCATACCAAACTCAGACTCCAAAAATAGTAAATCAAGTAGATTTATAAACATATGAAAGACTTGAAAATGGATAATTCAAATAATGTGATGTAAAATGCACCATTTTGGGAGTCAAAATCTTTTTTCTTTCTAAATATTCCTACATCTGGATGTCGAGATAATCAATTAGAGGGTTTTCCAACTTTAAAACAACATTTCACAATAGATTTTTCCGATGCACCTTAATTCTTCATTTTAAGGTCGAAATCTTATTTAAACTTTCTCCTTTAAGGTTACATTGATGGGGATTATAATTATATATTGGGGTGGCAATGGACCTGGATTGAACTCGGGACCCGAGGGGTAGACACGATCCAGGTTCGGGTGTGGGTCCAAAAATTGGACCCAGCAGGTCAGGTCCAGGTCCAAATCTTGGACCCGAACACTATTCGGGTCCGGTGGGGTCCGGCTCCGGTAATATTTTTTGGGTCCCAAAATATGAAATGTATATAAATATTAATGTTGTCTGATTCACTTCAGAATCTTCTTCAATTTGTTGAGAAAAATGAAGCAATTCGGTGCTTCAGCAGATTCAAGTGAAGACGTCGGATTTCTTAAAAAAAAATATATATAAATAAATTAGATATTTATATATCAAAATATATAAAATAATGAAAAATTTAAAATAAAAATTTCAAAAAAAGAAAAAATAATAATAGAGATTTCTTTATTTAGGTCGAAGAGGCCGAAGGTTCGCCCCAAAGCAAACCCGAATCTTACTGATGTGGCCTGAATCTGACCGAAGCAGCAGAACTAAGCTTCGCTTCACTTCGGTTTAGGCCTAAAATTCGAATGCTTTGGCCTCTTGGGCTGAAACGAAGTGAATTTGACAAACATTGATAAATATAGGTCAATACATAGATATTTTAATTTTTGGGTTTGCTCTAATTAGGGTGAGTGAATTCAGGTCAAGTTGGATCCACTTTCCGGTCCACCTGGACATGATACGTCACCATCCCTAATTGTATGGGATATATAGGTAATATTTATTTTATTATTGTGTTTTTTGAATTGTACCTTTTATCTTGTTTAGATCTTCTAGTGTTGAGAGTGGAAAAAACCTATCATACGTCATTGGCGTCTGCCCTATCATACTTCTAGGGCAGATGGTTGAGATTAGCTGTATTGCCTAATGATGCTCATAACTGGTTACTGTTTATCTCCACCCTCTGTCGTATGGAAAAACAATGGAGTTCACGTTGTGTACCATTATCGTATACCACCAATCGCATTGCATTACTTTCTCATGGAGCTTAAGTTAGGAGCAGTACTTTGCATGTTAACAACCACCGGTTTAGTTAATTTACAGGCGGTTGTTTGTTTGGCAATGGGAGGTTATGGATCATACTTGGGTTTCAGAATTAAATACTCTGATGACTTGGTAAGTATTTTCATGCATTTGTTTTCTTTATCTCAAGAACACGGTTTTGATGAGTCAGCCGATTGACTTATTGCCGTGCAGTCCCTCATGAAAAAAGGAATTCACAAAAATAACATTTATTCTTTGGCTAGGAAGAGAAGGCCAAAGCAAAGGACTTGCACCCTAAATTGTTAGGAGGCATGTTCTTCTTTGTCGTGGTGGGCGCAACCGGGGGAATTACGTCCCTTCTCACTTCAGATAAGCCCATCTTTGAAAGGTAATAAATGTCATTCATCAAATTAATTGTGTAGAAATTTATAGCAAAATTATGTTTTATTTTCAGAATTTAAAAATAGTTTTATATATTTCATATTTTAAAATCCGGTCCCACTTTTTGAGATTATAATGTATATTGTAGTTTTATCTCTTTCTATAAGGTAATTTGATGATGCCGGATGTTACCATTTTTTTAGGAAATTAATCAAATCACACCTAAAATATCAACTGGTTAATGTTTCACCCATTTTTCAACCCGCACTCAAAATATCAACTATTCTTACTCATCATTACATGTCCTTTGATGGAATGTTTGAAATTAAATCAATAGAAATGGATGAGATGCTAAATAATTCATCTCTTGGGATACCTTTTGATAAAGTCCGTTATTTATTTGAGCCGTAGTCAATGTAAATATACTACTTCCAAAATCACTTTAACTCTGATATTTCAGATTTGAAAATATAAAGAAGTTACCCCATCTCCCCATTCCTAGTGAAAGTGTAAGCATTTCAAGTTCCATTCTTCAATTTTAAGATTTGCTAAATTTATGGATTCTAAATCTAGCGGTTAAAATGAGTTTGAGAGATACAAGAAGCATGTTCATCCCTCAGTGTTCCATATGGGAATTCAGACTTCATTCCAGATTCATAGCTCTTTTTAAGAATGCTATTAATGATCTGACACTTTAAAAATAGATAAAGAGTTTTGTTTAGATGGAAGTTCATAAGTCACATTAAATCATTCTTGTTGTTTTTGTATAATGGAAACTATAGAGTCAGCAGTTCTATGGGGTCATCCATCATGATGTTGTTATTGTAATAGATGAAAATTTGTGTGTTTTTAGGCATTTGATGCGCTAGTGTTTGTTTTACCCACATACCTCTCTTTCTTTTGTGTTTATTACTGAGTTTTTGATACGGTTGCAGTCCTCATGCTGTTACTGGTTTACTTGGCCTCACGCTCCTCACAGTTCAGACAATCTTGGCCACATCATTCGAGGTAGTAATTGCGAACCTGCTTTAACTATTCAAATTCCTCTCAGAAGTTTTGCTTATCATGAGTTGCATTGAGAATTGAAGGCATTACATGAAAATTTCATTTTCCATCTCTTCCGAATCCTGTTATTTTTGTTTTCTAGTTGCAAGTTTTACAGAGTGCTTTCCATTGATCTTTGAACTTATCTTCTATGTCGGGTTATGCTCTCCTACACACCACCTTGTACTAACTCCATTGGATACCCTGGTAGATCAGCTCTCCCATACACCACCATGCGTACGTGTAATGAAGATGAATTTCAACTCATACAAAGTGACTGAATTTAATGTCTTAAGATTCATCAATTTTGCTCTTTTTTTAGATAATTTTCATAAAGAATTGGATATGCTAAACTTATTTAAAATGAGTCTAATGTGAGAACGCGAGCAGATAATATGATATCCACCACACCCATCCAATTCAAAAGGAGCCACCACCTCCTTCAACCGAGATTGTGAATATAAATTCTTATTAACTGGAAAATAAAAAGTTGAAAAGTATGGTATGTGGGAGAGCTTTTGCTGATTATATGGAAGGAAAGATGTGTAGGAACCTTGGTACTCTTTGTTTCCAAATTGTCTTCTTTGATTCATTTACAAACTTTTGGTGACGAAACCTACCATCGACTCACTGGCAGTGGAATTGAGCCTTTGTATGCAGGGGAACCCTGGACTACGAAGTGTACATGGTGTGCTGGGAACGGGTATCATGGGTTTGTTCCTGGTTCATGCAATCTTCGGCCTTCAGCTTGCTTTGAGCTACTGATTACTTTCAGAATATCAATTCATCGTCAAAATCAGTTCCAAACATTATTGGCCTTAAGCCTTGTTTGAATTCACTCTCCCATTTCCTTGGTCACCAATTTTGAATTTGCCATGCGGTGGTGGATTTTGTTAGTGAATAATGTAAAGGGTGTGGTTTGTATAAGGCTGAGGTTCTAAACAATCAAAGTAAGGCCCACCTTTAACTAGTCTCGAAAGATATTATTTCAGTACTAGAAATAATTGTGATAGCCTGAAAATTTCTTTTCATCAGTAATTATCAAATTTAAAGCCCCAAAAATGGTGTAGATCGATTACATCTATGAATAATTAAAAATCGTGAAAATTGAGGATTCAAAAAATGCATTATCAGGTGCACTATTTTCAAGACTTGAAATCTTGAGGTCAAGATGATCGATTTGAGAATTTTTGGGTATCGAAACAACCTCATCTAGTAAATTTACGGCCTCACCCTTATATAAACTTTTACGTAATGTAAAATGGCTCCAATGCCTTCTCACTTATAAAAGCTGTACATGCACTATAACAAATGTACAATGCAAATGTTATTTTGCCATTACCGAAAGGAAAACTTGCTCCCTGAGAAGTCTAAATAGCCATTTCATTTCTTTCTACACCAATTGACAGATCAAAAGAAGCTACAACCTCATCAAAAGAAAAGAAGATGAATTTTTCTTGATCAAATCAATAATTGAATTCACAATTAGAGGGGGTACAAAGTAAGATTTTGAGTAATAAAAAGGACAAATTGAATTGAATTCTTGTCATGAATATCTCATTTTCTTAAAAAAAATAACCATATCACATTCCTATAGAGAGAGGAGAAAAAAATAAACAAAAAAAATGGAAATTTATGTATAAAAACTTGAAACATAAGTAGAAACTCTTACCTCTATCTAATGTGCGTGTGGAGTGAGCCCACACACACCCATAGAATATATACACACAGGCGCAGCCTAAGTGCGCTCATCAGCGGATCACCGCCCATTCAAGCATTAAGAATGGATGGTGGCGATCTTATATTTTTCCTAAGTATTATTTGCTCAAACCCATGACCTACCCCTTTCTCCCCTGCTGCACTCTCTCTCGATCACCCTCTTTCTAGTTTTGAATTTAGGAGAAAAAAAATTTGTCCTTTCCCTTTTTTGAGTTATTGTACATGGAATCCGTGAGCCACATGATTGTTGCACGACAAAAGGTCTGCTAAGATTATTCTTTATATTTTTTTTTTTTCTCTTTTCTTTATGAGATAGATAGAGAGAGAAAGAAAGAGAGATATAATAGAAATGTGTGCATTATCAAATGAGTGTTGGTTGTATAAGGCTAAGGCCCTAAACAATCAAAGTAAAGCGCACCTTTAAATAGCATCGAAATATGTTTCAGTACCGAAATTTTTTGTGATGCTTTCAATTTTTTTTTTTATTTCTAATTATAAATTTTAAAACTTTAAAATAAGTGTACATTTAGTAGATATATGAACACTTGAAAATCTTGAAAATTGATGGTCCAAAAAGTGCATTACAAGATGCATTGTTTTTATGACTTGAAATCTATTTTTTCATGCGCTATTTTTGAGACTTGAAATCTATTTTTTCTCACGCCCATACATCTTGAGGTCGAAATGATCAATTTGAGGATTTTTGGCATCAATCTCTTGTGTGCCTTAATTTGATGGTTTAGGGCCTCAACCTTATACAAAAGAACGCCAAAAATTGTGGTATCTTATGAATCTAACATAGGTCACATACCTAAAGATACAAAACTTCCTCTTCGGAGCAGAGACATGGCCGAACTTTTAAGAAATGGATAAGCCTTTTTCCTTATCAAATATCAACATGGGATTCTAACATTTACCTATAGTACAAGGAGGTCAAATCTGATAGTTTGGGTGTGTCAACAAGTTCGAAAAAAATTCTTTTGAACGTAAGCTTGGTCAATAGATTAAATGCAGCTACCCATTCGCATTCAATAGTCAAGATTAATTGTGACCAACTTATAGCAAAGTTAATACTCATTTTATACCAATTTTCATTTCTCAGAACCTACGGCGTGGGATTAATCCCTCACTATTTTTTCTTATAGTTATCAATAATATTTTTTAAATTAAATGATATTGTAATATATTTTAGATTTATTATTATTTATATACTAAAATAATTATAAAATGTAAATCAATAATTTCAATTTTAGTAAATAATATTATAGTTGGTTGGGTTGTAATAATTTTGGATTATTAAAGCGAATTAATAAATATTTTTTACTTTGATGTGATACTAATTTCATTTTATATAAGAAATTATTTTTTAATCTTATAATAAGAAAATTTTTTCTAATATTTTGAAATTATATTGATGCAATATTATAATACTATACTATGATTAATTATATAGACATCCAGGTAATAAAATAATGTCTTAGTATTCCCCTATTTTTATAAAGCAATGAAAGTACATAATGCACCGGTCCTAAATTCTTCTAGAAACTAAAAAGGCACTATTTTTAGAGATTCATAGTGTTTTTTTAAAAAACTTTGAGACAAAATTTGCCGATTCTCCTATCCGATTGACTGATTCTTGTAAACACCCCATTTTAAATTTGGCAAATTCTATGGTTTTCTTAACCTTTAGGATTACACTTAACCTAGTAATCCCAAATCCATAGTTCACACAACCTACCTTATGATTCAGAATCAGTTTGCTTGCCCGAAACCCTGTAGAAACCCTGTTTTGACCCAGATTTCTGTAAACAACCTGTTTTACCAAAAAAAAATTAAAAATAGTAAAACAAATATGTTTTGACCCAAATTTTCTCTGAGGGCGTCACAAGAGGAAGACATCCAAATTGAAAAACATCAATAAGGACAAGTTTTGGTTTGCGCGACATGGGGCGTGCCACCCAAGCGACACAGGGCTCGTCACCCAAGTCATCCTACAATTGCCCTGTTTTACCAAAAAATCATTAAAAATAGTAAAACAATCCGTTTTGACCCAAATTTTCTCTGAGAGCTTCACAAGAGCTAAGGAAGACACCCAAATTAAAAAACATCAATTTGGATAAATTTAATTTGTGCGACACAAGGTGTGCCTACCAAGCGACACATGGTGGTCGCCTAAGTCATCCTGCAATTTCTATGTTTTACCAAAACAATCATTAAAAATAGTAAAAAAATCTTTTTTTACCCAAATTTTCTCTGAGATCTTCACAAGAGGCCAAAGAACACACCAGAAGTAAAAAATATCAATTTGGACCTAAATTGGTGTGTTCGACACCGGACGTGCTGCCCAGGTGACCAACCAGTGCCGCCCAAATTCGTAATCCTCAAAATATGCATCTTTGACAGAGGGATTTGTTTGTTATACATGCATATCCTTCCCAACAAGCTTTGACCCTTATAAGGCGTCTTTTCGTGGTCATTGGAGAGGGACAAAGAATACAATTGGGGAGAGAGAGAGAAAACTTGGGATAGAGAGTGAACAGACTGGAGATAGAGATAGAAACCTCAGAGAGATTAGAAACCCTAGTGATTGCTTCAGAAAATCCTCAGCCTCCTAGAACGTTAACCCATAAACCTGAGAGAGCCTAGACCTAGGACACCTAGAACAATCTATAGGGCACAACCACCCTATACTAAAAAGACTTGCTGGCTAATATCTGGATCAAAGAGATAAAGGAGGACCGGTTCTGATACGGGCGAGCCCTAGAAGGATCGAGAATCCCGAACCATCCGGCCTAGTTCGATATCATTTTCTTCCATTTAATCTCTTTTGATTTTATTGTTTTCATTTTATTTTGATCTGATTGTTTACTTAAAATTCATATTTTATAATGTCTTGGATCATGATGGCCCTGCCACAGATCTGAGAGTAAATCTGCTCGTTTCCAGGGAGATCTGGCCCCATATCTGAATTTGATTTGTCCCAATGTCTCTACCACATTATTTTTATCAGTTTAAGGGTCAAGATCCGAGAGATCTTCCGACAAAGATCTATTTGATTTTGAGCTATAAATAGTTTGGAACCCATCGTGGGGAATTTCGAGCTTGATCCAAGCACCAAATTATGATTTTTGTTCACTAGTTTCACTATTTTCAGTCCAAAACCCGGTCGTGATAAGGATCCAGGTCCAGGGCGACACGCCCTTTGGTGCCCCCCGTCGCCCAAGTCAAAACTTTTGCAAGCTGGGACCTGGGACTCTCTTGTGACTGTCCACAAAATTTCATAGCAAAATAAAATTTTTCAAAATACCAAAAAAATAGTTTACTGTTCTGTCTACACTGTTCTACTTTACTTTGTTTTAATTTATTTCATCATAAATAATTTTTCATACTTCTTCCATGTTTAAAGTAGTTTATTTCATCAAGATTAACAAGATAAAAATATATAAAAAAAAAATTGCTTTGGGCGACACTCGCAGGGTCGCGTATCCTACAAGGGCGGCAGTAGTAGTGTCGCTTGGACGACACCACCCGTGTCGCCCAACTGCGAGTGTAATAGAAAAATTCTGGGACCCCACAGGCCCATTCCAGGGACTTTTGGCTCCTTGTTGACAACTTTTTGACTTAAAATAAATTTTTTAAAATATAAAAAAAAAATTTTACTTCAGATAGGTTTGTGTTGTTTCTGACTCTTTTATTTTATTTTAGTTTGTTAATTTTGACTGACACCATGTTTTCCCTACTTTCACCGGTACTTAGTTTAATTGTATGTCATCAAGGTTAAAAAATTAAAAAAAATAAAAAATAAAAAATAAAAAAATAAATATACATCGAGGGCTGCTTGCACCCTTGACTCGGACCGCGCTCGACTTAGCACGAACCGTGCCTGGTCTCATAGTTCAGACTTTACCTTGTGAGGGGTTGCTTACCCCTCCATCTATATTGTGCTGCGAGCAAGTTTCGCCTCAAATCGCTAAGCCCAATCAGTGTCGATCGCTCACTTATTTCCTTTCGTGTTTTGTGTGCTTGATTTTATTTTAATTGTGTGCTTCTTTACACACTCCAACACACATCGGAACGGGATTGCCCAGGAAACCAGCAAACAAATATTTCAAAAACCCCCAAAATTCAAGTTAACGGCGTGAGGGGAACCTAGCTTTGAGAGTCAAGGTGATTGGGATTTGCGTAACTTTAACTGTGACCACCCCTCCGTAATATTTTGCCTCAAAGCAACTCCGGGCATAGTAGGACCTGGTGAACATCCTATAACAGGAGGCTAGGACCTATGTGGTGACCTATATCAACCTAGTCACATTTCAACAGTTGGGAACCCACTCCCAAGTCAAGCCTACCTATAATACTAGGCCAAAAGTTTTTGTGTGCTTGCTTGCTTATTTCTTTTGGTTAATCTTAGATCACAGTCCGGCTTTTAGTCCAAGCTGAACTCTCTGGGTCCAAGTCCAGGCTTGTACCCAGCTTAGCTCAGGTCCGAACCAGGTTTCACCTTGGTCTGAACTTAGGCCCCCTTTGGGTCCGAGCCAAAGGCTCGTTCTTGATTCATCTCTGACCCAGTTCGGGCCCATATCGGGCCTGATCTTCAAAATTCTCTGGGTCTGAGTCCAGGCTTGTACCCAGCCTATCCCAGGTCTGAACCAGGTTCACACCCAGGTCCGAACCTAGGCCCCTCTTGGTCCGAGCGGAAGG